TGTTTTAGTTACTTTAGTTTTCTTATTATTTTTTTTATGTTTTAAATTTAAATACTTTAATTTATTTTATCCTTATTTTATTATATTTTAATTTATTTTACTAAAATTCAATCTTTTATTTAAATTATATTTCTTACATAATTCTTACTCAATCTGTCCTTCAATTCAAACTTAATTATTTTTAACATTTGCAGATTTTTATTTGAAATTAAACACTTTTCTAAATTATACCAAATTAATAAATTTTATGATTCTTTCCCAAGCAGCCCAACTTGTCCAGAAATCTAGCCCAAGAGGAAATTTCTCATGCTGGGCCCGTGGCCCAGTGGGCTTTCCTGATGGCCTCTCGGCATGTTTTCATGCCTGTTAGGCTTGCACGAGTGGGCCTGCTGCAGAGAGCAACCAGCCCAAGGGAAACAGGCTGTGTATAGTGGCAGAGGGAATTCCAAGCCATTTTGAAGGCCCGAAAAAACCCCTCCTCTGTAAATCAACACAGCAAGCCGTGTGGTTCTGAAACAGAGGCATTTTAATGCCCAACCTGCTTAATAGAGGAAATTAAGCCTCTGCCTTCGTCCCAGTTTTCCCATATTCTACTTTTTAAAACATCATCCACCATCTGTTGAAGTTAAAACACCATATTCAATATTAAAATTCATCAAGAACAGTAAATAAATCATAAAAAAGAAATGTAATGCAAACTCACTCACCCTTTTCAACTTAAATCACCACTTTCTTTTTGTTTTTTTGAAAAGATTTGCTGAATGAATAAGTATCTAGAAAAGCCATACTTGCATCACCCATAATATAACCACCTTACCTCAAAGAAGTGGCAGAAACGGGCTGAAGAACACGAGGAAAAGTCGGGCTTTTCGAAGACTTGAGAAACTGTTATGCAACACAATGGATTATTGTAGAAATTGGAATTAATTTTTTGGGTTTTTTTAGAGTGTTAAGCTTTGTTTAAATGAATTCCTAACTCATTACTAACGTCGTATCCATTTACTAATTATCTAGATTTAAGAAAAAGAATGAAATCTAAAAGCAAAAGAAGCAGAACCCGAACTTACCTGCAAAATAGTGACAGCAGATGTAACAACAACAATTCGATGAAGTTGCTGCAAATTCTGGGTTCCAGAATATAAACAGAATGTGTTTGAGTAATTTTGGAATCAAAAGGAAAGAAAATCTAAGAGGAGAGAACTTACCAAGCTTAAAATAGAGGGAAGACTCCTTCTTTGATGTACAAGAACTCCCTCTCGGCAACACTCACACTCACTTTAAGTTTTCCAATTTTCTTCCTCACCAAAACTCTCGGTCTCACTCGATTTTGCTGGGTTTTGGTTTCAAAATAAAACGGAGAAGAAGAAACAAAGAAAGAGTCCGTTTTGAAGGAAATTGATGGCCAAATCTTGGCCGTTCCTTGTCAAAGTGTTCCACTCATGGCCATTAACGCCATGAGTGGCTGACAGCTGCACCAAAAAGAATGGCTGGTGTTTGCCATCTGCCCAGTCAGCTTGGTTTCCTCTGCCAGGTGGCCGAAACATTTTCTTTTAAAGGCTGGCCAGTGGTATCCTTCTTTATTTTATATTTATACATATGTATACCTATATATATACATATATTTATATGCAGGATTAGTTTAATTAGTTTAGTTACTCTCTTTTGTTTTTTTTATCAATTTAATTTATTTGGTTTTGATTTTAAATTAAAGCAATATTTATGCATACAAAGCATATTTGAAACATTCAAATGCAAAAATTCTTATAAAATATAAATATGAAAAATACTTCATTTATTAAGGATTTACATAAAAGTAGTGGTTACATTCTTCCCCCTTAAATAAAATTTGTCCTCAAATTTTAAAATTCTAGCCAAATAATCTTCCGTACAAATCTCTTGTAGCATTTTCAACCTCCTAGGTTGCTTCTTGAAGAGAATGATGTTGCCACTATATTTTGACAATAGGAATCTTTCAACATTGCAGTACCATTTCTTATTTGTAAAGGATACAAACTGGATATTACTCATATGACAAGTCAAGTTGTAATGCTAAAGACTCATAGGAGATAATATGAGCTGGATTACAATGGTATTTATGAAACATAGATACATAAAAGACATCGTGAATACCAAAAAACTGTGGAGAACGGGCTAGGCAATATGCAACAGAGCCAAATCGTTCTAAGATTTAAAAAGGTTCAATGAACCTAGGATTCCCATGTCTCTCAAACCTAATGATCCCTCGACTAGAGCAACCCTACGAAATACGTGATCACCCACTGTAAATTCTAAATTCTTCCTCATTTTGTCAGCATAGCTCTTTTGTCGACTTTGAGCTGTAAGAAGATTTTGTCAAATGATCAAAATCTTAGTTTTCTAGACTAGATCGAGTCCTAACAGATGTTTCTTCCCAGCTTCGTCCTAACAGGAAGGAGAACGGCAGGGTCTGCTATACATCACCTCGTGGGGAGCTATCCCTTTGATGGAATGATAACTGTTGTTATATGTAAACTCTACCAAAGGGAAGTGTCTATCCCAACTAGCTCCAAAATCCATGATACATGCTCTCAACGTGTCCTCTAACATTTATATAGTCCTTTCATATTGCATGTCAGTATAAGGGTAGAAGACAATATTGAAAGAAAGACGAGATCCGAGAGCATCCTAAAAACTAAACAAGAATTTGGAAGTAAACTAATAATCTCGGTCAGAAACAGTAGACACTGGGATATCATGAAGACAAATGATCTCCTAAATATACAACTCGGCTAATCAACTTAGAGGATTAACAGCCTATATAGCTAAGAAGTGTATAAACCTTATCAACTACAAACCATATAGCATTATGTCCATAACTAGTCAGGATAGTCCAACAACAAAGTCCATGGTCACATGTTCCTATTTTCACTTAGAAAAAAGAGAGCTAGAGCAACCCACTAGTTATTGTCTTTAGCTTTGACTTGTTGACAGTAAACACTTGAGATAAAATCATGATATCCTTATTCATT